CAGAGATTTTGGAGAATCCTCCAATCAGGATTACTTCACCCAGAGATTTTGGAGAATCCTCCAATCAGGATTACTTCACCCAGGAAGAAATGCATTCCTCCAGTGTCTACCTTGGATTCCAGGTGGCTCAGCTTGGAAGAACTGACCATCCCCAGGCATAGAAACAACATCCCTGATGCTCACACAACTCAGACCCGGCCTTGTCGCTTAGCAAAGGCTTAGGTCCTCGGTACCGGCTCTGCCTTTCCTTCCCTTCTCACCTTCCGCCTGCCCGGCCTTCCCTGAACTCCTGCTTACTCCCTCAGTAGATGGTCAGTTTTTCCCAAAGGTGTCTGTAGCTACTGATCATAGCTTTGTTGTTACTTTCAGGCTGTTTAATGCACTCATGTTATGGAGCCAAAGGACAGTAAACAGCTCTAGGCCTGAGGTCACACCTTGTATCTTCTCCCATCCCACTTGTATCTCTTGGAACCTTCTCACCAAACCTCTTCTTAGCCAAAGCAAACTCTTTGGAAACTGTGCTGGGGGAATTTGGCAGATGATATTTTCATGGTCACAAAAATCTTGTGTAAAATGCTCAGAGTGTCCTATGTCAGTCTCCAAGTTCCATGTCAGGCTCCAAGTCCAGGCAGCCCAGTATTTCACTTCTGAGGAGAACAAGGAAAGCTGCCCAGGCTCCTCATTGCTGCAGCCTGGCCCTGTGGGACCTGCCCTCCCATCCCCACCTCCTCTGCCCCTTTACTGGACCTATTCAGTCTTCATGTCTGCTGGGGGCGCCCGTTTTCTGAGAGGCCCTGCCCTGGGTGCACAAGTGTATCTCAGAGTCCACTGGTCCTCTCCAGTACCCACCTGTGATCACTGGAGACTGTGAACCCCAGGGCAGTTTTGGGCACTCAAGCTCCTGTGTCCCAGCAGTGGGTGCAGGACAAACCAGGCTGTGACAGCAAGATAAAGTCAGGGCAGTGATGCTGAGTCCCTTCCCCAACTCCCACAAGCCCTTGTCATTCAGGAGACACACAATAGTGACCTGACTCTGGGAAATACTGGAAGCAGCCTCTATAGTAGCCGTTGTCAACCTGTGAGTCGCGATCTATTTGGGGGTCAAACGACCCTTTCCCCTTTCCCAGGGGTTGCCCATGGGAAAACACATATTTCTGATGGTCTTAGAACAAAGACAGCACTCCTCATGTGTGGGGGTCACCACAACATGAGGAACTGTATTAAAGGGTCCCAGCATTAGGAAGATTGAGGACCCCTGCTCTACAGGAAGTCAACACACAGTGAGAAGCCAGGTGAGGGGAGAGCCTCTGAGTGTGAGAACCCAGGTGAGGGGGAGAGCCTCTGCCTGTGAGAAGCCAGGTGAGGGGAGAGCCTCTG